TTCCTGAATAGAACTAGTTTACAAACAATTGGACAAGTTAAAATTCAATTGTTGAATCTCTTAGAACGCTTAGGTATTGTACCAAAACATTACCCACAAAGAGATTATAATAATGATTCAAGAGGTTTTGCATTAGGTCCACCTGAATTTAATGTGAATTCAAATTGTATTCCTTTACTTCGATCATTAGTTTGTGCGGGAGTATATCCAAATATTTCATTAAAGACTTCAAAGAAAACTTATCGAACTCGACATGAAAATATCACATTTATTCATCCAGCATCAGTGAATTATAAAAGTAGAGCAATTAAATTAACGGCAGCTTTAAGAAATGATAATGGAAACACGAGGATCGAATCGGATGAAAATTTATTCGCACCTGAAGGAACTCTTTATGCTTACTCAACAAAGGTTAAGACAAGTGGACAGCAAGTTTATCTTCGTAATACCACAAGGATCAATCCATTTTCTGTAGTTTTATTTGGAGGTGAAATAAAACTTGGACAACAAAGTAGTAGTAGTAGTAATGTTTTACTTACAATTGATGAGTGGCTACAATTCGGTGGTAATGATAAAGTAATTGAATTGGCCAGTAAATTAAAAAATTTCTTGGAAAATTGTTTAGCTCAAGTTTATGAACGATTGGATACTAGCGTTAATCATAACAATCCGGCTTCAGCTCAAAATAATTTAGCAGGAAAATTAGATGAAAAGGATGAAAAGGTTAAAGATAGACTTATTAGTGGTATTGTTGAAGTCTTGGATAAATTAGATCGTAATTCAGTGGAAAAAATACATCATTGATGCGATTTCTTTATCAGTTGTTTTATATAGACATTATACGACGTTTTATATACATTATTTCATCTTTTTTTTTTTATCATTATATAGATTTTTACAAGTTTCTTTGTCTCTCTCTTTTTTTTAACAAATGCTTTCCTGTACTATACTTTTTTTTTTTTTAGACATTATACTCATCATCATCAAAAGAGAAAATTCTCTTATTTATTTAACTTATCATTTCTTTGATGTCAAATTTTATTTATAATAACGTACGTTTCAAACCGGTTTGTAAATAATTTAATAATAATCATCTTGACTGTTTAATTAATTTAATTGTCTCAATAATTTGCCATAAATACTATTCATGCCTCCTTTACGTTTCCTTGCATAAGAAAATTGATTACGATATTTCCACAAACTGTAAATTTTAGCTATAGAAACTTTTGATCTACCCAGCTCTTTTGCAACTAAAGACCATCTGCGACCGTGCTTTTTAATTGATGTAAATAATTTAAATTGATCTTCTACTGTATAACAACCTTTTTTTAAAGAGGGATCAAGCTTATTAAGATATCTATTTCTGCATTGAATCGCAGTTCTACCAGGAATTCTTTTGGCGATTTGTTTCCAAATATCATTATCATAATCACTCAAGGAAAGGAACCTTTGTGCTTCTTGAGAAGATTGATATTCTTTGATAAATTTCAGTAAGAGTTCATCTTCTTGTAAACTCCATTTAGCAGGTTTGCATATAACGTTATAATAATGTTTATATAATTGTATAGGGGTTCTGTTTGGTAAATAATGTTGGTGAATATATTTCCAATTAAATTTATTACCTTTAAGTAAGGGAACTTCTTTTAACGCTTTTTCTAAGATTAAATGTTCATATTCTGAAAAATTTTTTTGTTTCGATTGTAAAGGTTTTAAAGTATCCCTCCATCTAACCATACATTGCTTCGGGGATCTTGTAATACTCGTTAATAAGGAGGAAGAACCATTTGAATTAATTGAATTAATTAAATTAATTGTTGATGAAATTTTCTCCCATTGATCTTGTTCACCAAATTGTTTTACGCCATCAGCAATAATTTGATCTTCTTGTTTTGTCCAAGGAAACTTTATTTGAATATTATGCCATTTATTTCTAACATCACTAGGGGTTCTATTAGGAAAATATTTTGAGGTAATCAATTTCCAATTATACATAACATTCTTACCACCACTATAAGTGAAAAGTAATTGATTTTCTATTGAAGCATTATTTAATAATAAATCCTTTAATCTTTCGATTTCTTCACTTGTCCAAGGTTTATTTTTGATAACAAATAATGATTCTTCCTTATTATTCTCTTTGATTTTTTTGCTAGTATGTAAAACTAAATTGTAATTAATTGGTAATAATTGTTGTTGTTCATTTGAAAACCTTTGCATGTTAATATAATATTGCTTTAATAATGAAATAGATTTTTTCTTCAAACGATTGTTATCTTGCATTAATTGTAAGTTGTTATTTAATTTATTTAATTTTTTCCAAAATGAATTTTGCTCTTTCGATGTTAATGATATTAATGATGATTGATTTGTTGAACAGATGAAGGAATAATCTATTAAATATTTTAGATTATTTCTATAACGATAATAACAATCTGATGATGACCGATTTGAAAATCCCTGTGATATGATTCCCCAATGTTTCCATCCATATCTTATTACCCTTCTCAATAAGATATTATCTTCTTCATAGCTCCATTGTTTATTATGTGCGATTATTTTGTGATGTGGAAGCCTTTTAGGTGGTAAATTCTGAGAAGGTAAAGGTGAAGATGATTTCACGTTGACAATTTTTGTGGTGATATTGCTTTTTATGGTACTATTGAAATTTTTGGAAAATATTGAGTTCACCCGATGTTGTGCAGGAACCCACTTGGTCTTACGAAATGGCAACATTTTTAACATCAAATCATCATTTTTTCCCCCTTTTTGATAAACGTAGGGATGCGATCATATGACCAATCTAAGCCAAAGCGATCGACTCATCCCCTCAAAAAGTGAGTCGATACGTGATTTGACGAGGACACGTGATTATGCAAATAACTTCGACCCAAGGTTTTGACAGCAGCATTTTCAACGGTTCATTGACAAAATTTTGATATAATTCGCTAAAAATGAAAAGTATTTTTTTTTTTCTTTTATTAATTCTTTTACTAAGTATTACATCCCGCCATACCTAACACACGTTCTCTTTGAGGGCAATCGACATATACGTCTCTTTCAAACCATTAATGCCATAACGCTTTGTTTAAATCTATATAGTCTTAGATTTCTGTTAATAGTAGTTGAGAACTTTCTTTTTTTTTTCATTTCGTAAAAAATATCATTTTTTTTTTTTCGGTCTAAAGATCGGTCTAAAATTCAATTTCCCCCCAGATCGACCGAGATCGGATAGGTACTGTTTCACCATTTTTTGATTATTCCGAATAAATAACGCGTTTTCTTCTCCTTTAATATTAACAATGGAAAGAATACAAGTAGACGAATTAGAGGATATATTATGTATTCAAAATGGAATAAAAGATTTAGTGTCTTCTTATGTACAGAAATATCTTGATAGTAACACCGATAATGATTTAAAATCTCGTGTTACTTCTGCTGTTAAAAAAGTATTATTATAAAATTTTTACATGACTTTTTTTTTTACATAATAATGGTAATTAATATAATATATAAATTGTGTGTATATATAGTGGATCGATGATACGTTTAAAATGTGTTCTCCAAATTTAGAAGTGAATGGAATGACTTATGATAAAGCTTTAAAAGAGAAAGGTACGTATATAAAAACAGTAATTCTATCAATTCACCTTCAAACTTCTAAATTCTGTTCAAATATAACTTCTTGTATAAATAGATGTTGAACCATTTGATGAAAACCTGTTGTCAAATTTAATATCATTAGAATCAGATGTTGATGTTATGACTTTAAGAGTGACAGAAAATCGTCGTAATTCACCGGAAATTATTAAAAAAAATTTCGAAGAAATTCTATTATTACAATCTTTCATGAAAAATCATGCTGAAATTATTGATGATGATGATATGGGGATTTGTGATATGCAAATTGATTCTGATACGGTTACTTCTGGTGTTATTTTATCCGGTATATATCGGTAAATACCGTTTTGGTTACGCGTTGTGAATGTTAACTAACATCATTTTTTTTTTTTTTTTACAAGAACAATTTTCTGAACGCGTTGTCCAAACATATGACCAAAGCCTCAGTTTGTTAACTGAATTGAAAAAGGTAATTTTTTTAATTCACGTGAAACTTAATTGCAAAAGATATTTCTAACGTCTTCCAACTTATTTCGTTTAATCTAGTCTACAACTGCCAATTTATCAAGATTTGAAAGAGCTCAAACTGTTGTTGCAGATATTAATAAATTTAATCCAACCTCTTGAATTATCAATATCTGTTTTTTTTACTTAATTGCACAATTTCTTCGCGTCCAAGTTATAGATAAGATTATCACTATCATCGACGAAACACCGAAACAATTAATTTTTTTTTTTTTATAATTGAATAACTTTATTAATGACAAAAAAAAAAAAAAATTTGCAAGTATAAAAGAAGTAAAAGATAAATAAAAAAAAATGTAAAAATGGTGGATTTTTTTAATTACATTATAAAAAAATTTTTTTCCTTTTCTATATTATATATATAAAATCTAATTTATATATATAATAATAAAATATTTTGTTTTGGATTTTTTTTTCTTTTTTTTGTTTACAAGAATATAAATCTAATATACTATTATTTAGATAAATATATATCAGAAATATATTTAAAAAAAAATTATCATTTTTATATAATGACAAATTCTGGACTTATGTCAGAAAAAAGGATAAGTTTGAGACTTTTTTAATATATGTATCTGATAAACCATCATTGCGACTAAAGTGAGTGATTTGTAAATACACATTAACAATTATTATCTATACTAAACTACAAAATAATAAAATAATAGCAATGGGAAATATAATAAAGAAAGTTATTGTTACAACAATTAATTTAGTTACATAACCCATTGTTATATACTATATAACAAATACAATATTATTCTTACTACATAATATTTATTTTTGGACACATTCCTTACATACTAAATAATTATTTTTTAACAAAATTCTTCATTGGTTGAAGTTGCATCGAATTTTTATTGAGTTGGTTGTTGAGAAGATTGTCTCGTTCGCAATATATCCAACATTTGTTGATTATTAATGTCTAAAAATTTAAAAAGAAAAATTATTCATAAATTGAAAATAATCTGTACCAAATATATTTATAATATATTAAATAATCATTAACATACCGGTATTGGCATTACTAGCCGTCTGAAATAAATTAGCCATTCGACGTCGTAACAAAGCTTGTTCACTTCCAACTTGTAGGTTTTGTAATAGAGCAGGTTGCATAGCCTGTCGTTGCTGTTGTTGAAGCATTAACGCTTGCTGCATATTTGGTGGCAAGTTAGCTATAGACTGTTGTTGCAAATGCGCTAATGCTTGCATTTGTTGCTGTTGATGAATATGTTGAAAAGCGTTTTGTTGTAATACTTGTGCAGCTGTTGGCATTTGCATCGTCGGTTGCTGCTGATGTTGAGCTCTTTGTATCGCTGCCATTTGTTGTTGTTGCATAAGTTGTTGCATTTGTTGTAATTGTAAAGCTTGTGGTTGTTGAGCTACTGCTTGTGGAGGTCGAAATTGTTGTGCTTGCGAAGCAACCGTTACGCTTGTTGGCAATGGTGTATCCAAAAAAAGCAAACCAACAATTTTTTGTCCGGTAGGGTAAAGAACTATACCTCCGTTTGGATTTGGAGCATTAGGAAAGCGTACAAAGGCAGCCTTAATAAATAAAAAATCTGTAAATAATAATATTTATACTGATTAAATATTTCAAAAAATATATATCTCTTCTATACCATCTTCCTGGTATCCAAAGTTCGCATCAAGATTGCAAAACTATTATTATTTTCTTGTGTAGAAGGTGGGGTCGGTGTTGGCAAAAGTAAAACTCTCGGATTTGAACTCACAACGTTTACGACATCTTTAACATTATTAATGCCAGAAATTTCCATTTTTTCTGGCCAGCATGAAATCATACTAAATTTTTTTTTTAAAAAAAAAAGGGAAAGAAAAATAATAAGTAAATATTGAGCAACATTTTATAATAATATCTTAAACAATCATCCTTACTAATCTGGTTGCGGTTGCGGTTGCGTTTGCGTAGGCTTCTTATTAGTAACTGGGAAAGCAGTCACTCGGCAAGTAAGTTCACGCTTTATTTTAGTATGTTGATTGCTAGATGACCACATAATTTGACCATTCCATAATGCATTGATTGTCTTTGAAGAAGCTATGCTAGGACGAATTAGGTTACCATTAATTGAAGTTGCAACTCCAACGGACGTCTTAGTACTTTGTCCTATAACACTATTATTCATACTAGCAGTGGAAGTAGAGCTCATCATGGTAGACGCGGGCAATTGTGCGCCGATTGTAGCAGCATTCACTGTGCCTATCGAACTTGTAGGCATTTGTCCTCTGAATTGCGCACCAATGGATGTTGACGCGGTAGTATAACCAACAGATTGAGAGTTGGTGGAAATGCTCATAGGAGATGTCAACGAGTTAAACGCACTAAGCTGTTGTGCAGTAGTTGCGGCTGATGATGCTTCGGTACCATTGAGAGATTGTGAACTTGCTGCTTCATTTATAGTAGCTGAAGTTGCAAAATTTCCTCCAATTGGTTGTTGGCCAATATTTACTTGTGTTCCATTATTAAATTGAAGCATCTGACGTCTAAATACATTCGCAAGATTTTGTTGACTTGCAGCCAACTCATGCTGGAGTATAGTATTTTGTCGAATTAATTGCTGCTGTGCATTAGTAGCTAACGTATTTCTAAAAAATTGTGCATTTCGAAATGGTGGTTGATTTTTAAGATTAGCTATAAAATGTTTACGTTGTTCTGGTGTCATTGCAGCCAACTGCATATTAAATTGCGTCATGGAATTAGGAGGATATTTGACTCCTGGCATATTCTGTTGAGGGCGAGCTATAGAACCTGGTATAGATTGTTGCTGGATAAATAAAGGCGACTGAGATATTGCTGTAGTAGAAGTAGCAGAAGGTTGCACATGCATTGTAGCAACAATGCTCGAAGCAACCTGATTAGCGGTTTTAACGGGTTGCTGAATATGAGCAAGCGCATTCGGCGAACTCTGTAGAGCATTGGTATTTGGTAATGTAGCATTCGTAACAGCAGGCGTCTGTGACATAGGTACATGCGCTGGTGTCGCCGTATTGACAACAGGTGGTTGACTACTTGGATGCTGTTGTACAGGAGAATTTTGGGTAGCTGTTATCTGATCTTTCTTATTTGATGCCGGAGCCTGTAGAGGTTGTGCAAGTTGCACGGGTAACCCATTGGGGGCAGTCGACTGCCCTTTTACAGGATCTTGTGTCGGTTCGAGTTTTACTTTTTTTGGTTTTTCAACAGTACCTATGGAACTCGTTGAATCCTCACGTTTCCTCTTTATTGCTGTAGATACTTGAATCGTTTAGAAAAATTGGTTTGAATTATATCACAATTTATAAAATTTAAGAATGTATCGTTTTATCAATTCACCTTCTTTTGGATGTGTAAAAAGAGGTTTGAAACCTGCTAACTTAACTACGTGAGATGAATTTATTACATCTGCTGCATTATGAACTTCAATGTCTTGATTGACCTTTTATAATAATCAAAATAATTGAGAAAAGAACAAGTCTTGAAATAACAATTTATTGAATAAACGTAAAATGCTTTCATGTATACCTCTGTTACAAGCTCTTCCAATTTCGTAAAATTTCTTTCTGGAGTTATTAATGAAAGATGAATATTTTGCTATATAAAACAAGAAAACATATAATGTTAGTACATCGAGCAAAGTCTAGAAGCTTTGTATTACTTATACTACATACTTTTTTCATCTCTTCTACGATTTGATTCATAGAAAATTGATCATATTTCTCGTCAATATTTCGATGAACGAGGTCAGGACATGGGTGACTATTAGATATGAGAAGGCAATGCTTTCTTGGTTCAAGATTTTCGGACTTCGTCTGACTTTTATATGCATCAAACATCTAATAATGAATGGGTATTAATATACTTGTAATGTATGAAAAAAAAAAAAATGTGATCATATTCAATTTATATTTACCTCTAGCGCAGCAACCAAACCTTCGGCTACTGCGTTTTCTCTCATACCGCCATCCTCGAATTCTATGCTCTTTATAAGCTTTTCGAATTGTGATAAGTTCTCTTCAAAATAGTATGTCGTAACTGGAGACCGCGAAATAGGCTCATAGTTCCCAAAAATAACAAGTCCACTCTTCAACTTGGGCTATTTAATATAAAAATTGGCCTAATAAATATAATAATTAACAGTTTACCAGATGAAAAAAGTTATTAAATTGATCATTACTGTAATTTTTTCCTTTTGTATCTCGTTCTTATCTTTGTCCTCTTGCTCTATTAAAATAGGCAGTTTCATATGTCTGAAAAATGGTTGCAAAATTAATTATTAAATAAATTACTATTCTATATAGAACGTACAAGGAATTATTAAATTCTATGAACAAATAAACCCTTTTAAATTTATCTTTATTACTTACTTGAGTATAGGCTCAAGGTAAGCATCAAAAATAGTTTCAAAGTGGTCCTCTAGAAGATAGCTACCGTCTAGAACGATGATAACCAAACATTCTAAAGATGTTTCTTTATTGATCTTTTGTGGCATTTTTTTTGAATTTACCGTAAAAATTGAAAAAATCTCTTTCTACGGTAAATGCGGCAGTGAAGAAAATTATGAATTTCAAAACACTGCAAAAAAAAAAAAATTTGAAAAAAATGATAAAGCCGCACACAAGTTATTATATTAGTGGAAATGGCAAGCAAAAAGTAAAAAAAGGAATCTGACCAAATAAAGTGTCAAATGGAAGGAATGTTACACGAACAGTTGCACAATTATTTTATTAGGTAAATTGTGTAAATACATGGGATAGCGCCACATACATTGTAAAAATATTTTAAATACTATAAAATTGATACTGATTAAAGATTTTTCTTTATACAGTAATAATAAATATTTTAAAATTTTTTTTTTTTTTAACAAATAATATTTTAAATCATAATGATAAATCTACTTTTTATTTTTATAAACTAAAAACAGATTCTAATATATATCAAATTAAATATATAATATTTAAAAAAAATAATTTTATATTAATTAAAATTATAAAAATTATAATTTATTATAAAATAGTTTTAAATTTTTAAAGAAATTAAAAATATAAAAATAATTAAATTCTAATATAAAAATTTTGATATTAACTATCAAATATAATATAAAGTTAAATCAATTAATATATTTTTACATAAAATAATAAATATTTTTAATTAAAACTAGTAATTCAAATAATAAATTATAAAATTATAATTAAATTTATTAATAGTATTATCATTATTTTTAGTTATTTTTATATTTAAGTTGAATGGCTATAGCAATTAATTCTGCATATTAGAATTTCTGACTTTAGGATATTTTTTAAGTCTTACAAGTATTCGTTATATTTAAATCTAGATGAAAGATAATATTAAAGAGAAAAGTAATTTATTTAGATTTAAATTGATTTCTTTATTAATAATATTGAAACTTATATTTGTAAAAAGTTTAGAAACTTACAAAAGTTTAATTTATAATTTAAACAAAAAGCTATTCTATTTATATAAATTAATGTACTATAGTTAACTATTTTATAATGCTATAAATCAATTATTTTGATAAATTTTGACTATAAAATAATAATAATAAAGAATAACATAAAGATATAAAATATAAGATAAATAATAATAATAATAAAAATAAAAGAAATAATAAAAATAATAATTAGAATGAAATAATAAATATATAAAAAATTTTCTAATTAAATAAATTAGGTAAAACAGATAAATTTTACAGATCTTACAAATCAGTCTGATTTTTTAATATAATAAACTGATTAATTTTAATAATATAATATAAGATCTTTCTTAATATAATCTGCATAAAATACTTTATAAATTATTTTTCTAGGGTTAATTTTTAATATTAACAATAATTAAAATTGAAAAATATTATAACATTTCTTAATAGATTCTATATAATTATTTTTCTATTAAACATACCTTTTTATAATTATCTAATTTTATTAAATAAATTTAAATAATAATTAATAATTAATTATCTCAATATCAATTATAACTCATTATCATCTTATAATTTTATCCTGTTTTTGTATTTTAATAATATAATATTATTACAATTTTATTAAATTATAAAACATTTAAAAAATACAATAAAATAAATTAAATAAAAATTACAATTATATCATTATGACTCTATTTTAAGTTTATTTAAATTAATTAATCACTAATATTTTTTTCAGATAATTACAAAAATTTCTTTTTATAATGAATCTTTCAATAGTAAATATAAATAAAATTAATACTTTATTACTTTTCTTCTAAATATCTATTAATTCTTTTAAACTAAAATTATTTAAAGCATATTTACAATCAATTCTTGATATAGCGAACTCTTGATATAATGAATTTTTTGAACAAATATAATAAAAATATTCTTATTATAGCGAATTGACCAATCAAATCTTTTAAAATCTTCACTATAGTCTTATAGTGAAGTTGAAGTTTAAAACATAGAGTTCGTTATAATAAGAGTTGACTGTATTACTAAAATTTTGTTTTATTTTATTCATATTATTAAATTTAAAATAAACCCATTAGTATTAAATAACTAAAATTAATTTTTAAATTAAAATAAAGTTAAAAAATAACAAATATTTATCTTTAAATTTTTAGTTAAAATACTTGATCAATTTTAAGTTAAAATCACTATTCATAATAAGTAAACATAAAATACTAAGTTTTAAAAAAACTTTTTATTTTATTATATTTATTAATTAAGATTATATCTAATTTTTATAATAAGTAAAGCCTAAAAATATATAGTTACAAATCTAAAATACTATATAGAATTTTACAGTTTTAATATCAAAAATTATGTACTGTAAAGTACTGCCTAAAAGACCTCCTTTTGACTGTATCCCCATGATAATATACCTGAGTATTTTATTAGGTACAAAAAATGGTTCTTAAGATAAGACCCGGGTATAATTTAATTTTTAAATTGGGTAAATTGATATATACCCTGATATTTTATTACTTATACAATTCTTAATTTAAAAAATATAGATAATTCTTATCCGTCAAATAATTATTCTGTATATAATAAACTAATTATAGCATCTATATCATCTTTCAAGCTTGATTGACTTTTGCCTTCAAACCTTCTTCTAATTTTCGTTCCATTATTTTCCTTTCACCTCCTTTCACTTCCACTTCTACTTTCTCTTCATCTTTATCTTCCCTTAATAATAACTAGATAACACTCTTATAAGAGTGTTATCTAGTTCAGCTATACTGTTATCTAGTTATGAGTAAACTGTTACCTAGTTATGAGTAAATTGTTACCTAGTTACTTGTTTTCATGCTCTATGGCTGTTTTATTGCTTTATTGATATTCACTTAATTTTATTGCTCTGTCCTCTTTTTATTTCCTTCTAGCTATCTGCTTGTTTTCATTGCTCTGTGGCCGTTTTGTGGCCAAGATACTAGGCCGGCATTGATTGCTAAAAATCATGTTGTGATCGGGTGGCACAGTAAATTTGCAAATCAGATTTTGGCCAGCACTATGCTATATTTTTGACCAGAACTTTAGGGCGGAATGACTTGGCTTCCTGTGATTAGATTCGTGCAGTTTTGTGATCATTTGAAAGATGGCATTGAGAGCTTTCCAATTATGCTAAGTTCGTATGAATCAGATGCCTGAATGCTGAGTTATTGAGTCTCAAAGTTTTGGAAAAAAATATGGATTAGTGCTGGCCGAAATTAATGAAATTTACTGTGCCAATCACGTGTTCAGTTTCTCGTCAGTTCTAGGCACTTTCCCGTTACTTTCAAGTAACTTTTGAGTAACTTTCGAAGGCCTAGTTTAGTGGTCAGTTGGTTAGAGAATCGGAGGTGTGATAGTCATTATTATGGCCGGCCCATTTGATTGCCGGATGAGGCACAAAGTGCTGAGTTGATAACCCAGATGCGCAATTCTGCCTTTTATATTCCCATTTGATTGCCAGGTTGAGGCACGAAGTGCCGAGTTGGTGACCCAGATGCGCAATCTCGCCTTTTATATTCCCATTTGATTGCCAGGTTGAGGCACGAAGTGCTGAGTTGGTGACCCAGATGCGCAATCCCGCCTTGTATGACCTTTTTGATTGCCGAGTGAGGCACATGTAAAGTGTCAAATTAGTTCAGGCTATATTGCTTTTATACTATTTTTTCGTATATTCTCCCAAATCTTTCTGCCTTCCTGATCTCTTTCCTACCTATCAGCGGTAGTACACCAAAGCGTAACTTCTTATTTCTTTCCTATATATTATTCTACTTTAGTGTACTATCAAATTTATATCTTATTTTTCGCTCTTGTATTCCTAGAACTTTTTCTTGTATAGTTACTACTCCGAAATACTTTAGGATATTACTGCATCGATTACTTTTGAGTACTACCACATCGATTACTTTTGAGTACTACCATTGACCCAGTATTTTGCCAGCAAGTGTATTCGTTCAAAATTATATAAAACTTTTATTTTAAACTTGAGATTTTGTTAGTGTACATATACTAGAAACTTTCTATTTATCTATACTGAAAAGTTTGCTTTTATTATGCTTTTTGCGCAAAAAAAGCCCAGGCTGAGTCCACTTGTTCATTCCAAACTGCTTGAATTAATTTTTAGTAATCTCCAGATTAAAGATATACTATATTCCTGTCTTATTGTGAATCATCAATGGAAATTTGAAGCATTTCGAGTTATTTTAAGGCAAAAAGAAAGGGAATTTCGTGAAGATCTTGATTTTATCAAATATCGGTTAGACTGTAGTGAACAAGAAATAACCCGTATTCATACAGTTCTCTATACTCCGTACTATAATTGGATTACAGTAGGAGAAGAAATTGCAAACGTTCATGCAGTAATCAAATCCCATATAAATAATCTTACAAGTATTCTTCCCTATCTTATTAAGTCTTCTGTTTTATGAAATAAATTTCATGTACAATGGCAAAATCTTTATAAACAGACGAAAAAATTATTAAAAGATATCGATCTACTTGATGATATCAATAATACATAAAAAGAGCGAATATATAGACAAGATCGTTGAGCCGTATTGTCAAGTATTCTTAGCCAAAATTGCTACTTCCTGTTAAGAATAATGATAATACTTATTTTTTACTTATGAAATAGTAGTGGCCAAGTTTAATTTTACTTTCCTGGATCTGCATATATCCAGATTGATTCTTCCAACCAAACTAGTCCAGAGCTGGTATCACTACCGCAAATTTCTTTATGTAATATTCTATTACACCTATAAAATGCAAGACGAAATTGACACTAAAGCTCTGGCATATGCCCAGAAACGTGAAGGAAGATGCTTGGGCAAAGTTAGTCCTAATACATATTTATGGTCATGTAAAAAGGGTCATCAATGGGAGACGTGTTACCAAGATAACAAACAGAATTATAGATAGTGCAACATTTGTTCTAATGTACCGGAAAGAACGTGTCGATATATATTTGAGGAATTATTACATAAAAAATTTCCTCTTCGAAAACCTAAATTCTTGGAGGGATTATATCTAGATAGATATAATGAAGAGCTGGACTTGACTTTCGAATACAGTGGTAATCAACATTATCAAATTGTGCCTTTTTTTCATCCACAAGGACAGATGAATCTAGACGCACAAATCTGGCATGATTGGGAAAAGAGGGCGTTATGCTATAGAGAAGTGGTAATTCTTATTACAATTCCTTATTGCATCGTTGATTTAGAAACATTTATAAAAACTGCCTTGTATGCATTCGGCTATCTCCTTTCAATACCCACCTAGGAGGTAGCATAGGCTCTTCCTCAATGTGCATCAGTTATTCTCTCACGAAAGGACGTTGGGGTCCTGATTCATCTAAATAATATAAAATAGGCATTGGGGGTTCTTTCTAATAACAATTCTCCAGATCTTATGTAGGCTAGGAGACCATATCAGATCTGTTATTCTGTATCTTTCGAAAGGATCATTTTCCCATTCTCCAGGAGCAAGCAAGAATCGGATAGTAGTACCCTTTGGTAGTTGTGGTTCATCAACACCTATTGGGCAATTATATTTTACTGATAGTTTGGAATATATTCGTTCAAGTTTTGTGGCGTCATTAGGACTCATCCCAATCAATCGAGTTGGGCTATCATTCATATTATCAACAATTTTTCTTGCAAACCGCTCACATTCTCTACAGCGCTTGCCGGTAGGTAAGAGAAACTCTACTGAATACTGATTTTTAAAAACTCTATATTCGAATAATCCAGCATAACGGTCAACTATAGCCAAGCTTGTATGTCTGAAACGTGCTATAATCCTTCAGATTACGACGTCATGTTCATTCATTAATAAAGTCAAGTATCCCATAAACTCAGTACCCTTATCACATTGTAATTTTCGAGGCCAGTTGAGAGGCTTATCAGGATTATCATATATACTCTTGAATGCTTTCGCAACTTCCTCACTGCTCTTTGATGTTAAAAAAATGAAATCTTTATATCTAGTTATGCAGTCTATAACCAATAGTACATAATAATATATTGGGCCATCATCTAGTAAATTTGTATCTATATCTTCATCATATGGTATTTCAATTAAATCACATTAGTGCATAGTATTTGGCTTTGTGATTTTAGAGTAACTAGCATAAGGTATATGCTTTGGTGAAGGATGAAAAATTTGATATATTGCTTGGCTCTCAAGCCATTTTTTTACATCAATAAATAGAAAGCTATAATCGGCTTTTTTACAAGCATTCCATAATCCCTTAATATTTTGATACAAACCTTCAGGACAATAATGTAGTTTTTGCAAGGCAAGTTGCTGGTCTAAATTATGAGCTTTTTGAGGATCGATATTAATCGTAGGTATTTGTTTTGTTATGATTTGATCTAGCTCTTGTGCTTTTTGAGGATCGATATGAATAACCAATTCTCCCATTCTCTTTATAATCACGAAAAAAAAGAATGTCATTCTGCAGACCTCACCCAAGGTAGAGAAGAACGTGTGAAGAACATAAAGCTGAGCTGAAGGAGGAAAACTTTCATCTTCGTAATGAATTGCAGACAGAGGTAGATATTAATTACCAGAAAGAGAGATGAATTAATCAGTTAGAGCGAGATTATTTCTGGTGTGAGCAAGAAATTCAAGATCTCAATAGGGAGATAGAGCGCCTTGAAAATGCTTTGAAAGAAAAGATAGTAGAGTTAAAATCTGAAATATCTAGCCTAAAAAGTCAGCTATATCAAGCTAGGAAGGATGTACGAGATAAAGAAAAGTATATCTCTACCTTAGAAAAGCAATTAGTAGAATCTGAGGAGCAGGTTGAAAATCTGCGATATAGGATCAGGACCATCTCATTATGAAAAAATTCTCCAGAGTGGGGTAATTCTCCAGACTTGTATAATTCTGATGATAATATAGTTACAATCACTGAGCTAGCAAATGCTATAGATGGTTATCTGGATAATCTAACAACAAGTAGAGAAATCTTAGCAGATCAAATAAAAAGGGCAATAAGGCAGATACATCGAAAAGAGAATAATTTGCATCAGGATTTAGTCTATGAGCAAAGAAAACGCTATAATGCAGAGGCTGAACGAGATCTTGCTATTACGTAAAGAGATCTTGTTAAAGGAGTGACAGATAGGGTTGTTGGTGATCTTCAACAGTTACAGGCTAATGCCCAAAGTCAAGTAAATAGAATATTAGGCAATATAACAGGAAAGCGAATCCATATTAGTGTATTACTATAGGAAAAGTTTACCTTACAACTTCTATATCAGCGAAATATTCATCCTACAGTGATATAGAAGGGATATAAGTTTATTAAAGTATAATCGAGATAGGCTCTATGAGCGATATGAGAAATGGAAGAATAAGACCCATGATGCTCAGCAGAATATTTTAAATTTGCAAGGACAAATTTTGGCGCTACAGAATAATCCACCAAATTAAATAAACATAGCAGGAATACCACAACTATTTTTTGACTAGGGTGATGATATCCTTGATTTTTTAGTGAAACTAAGATTATATTTACAAAACCAAAGGGTAGATCCAGCAGATAATGTGGAAGATTTACCACAGGAAGAAAAGTAGCTATATGATATTTAAGAGGCTATATGAGAGGAAGAGTTTTAGAATGGTTTGACAAAGAGATTACTACAAAGCAGAATTGGAAATTAGCAAACTTACTTGATAATACAGGACAGGTTAACTTAGTAACTGTAAACAGGTAAAATGCAGATCAAATAGGAAATCAAGCATTGAATGAAGCCTTTAGCCAGTCTGAAAATGCAATAGTCAAGTTAAGAACTGTAGAAGACCCTTAGAATGAAGATTAGCGTGTAGCAAGCGGTCATCCTACTAATATTGCTGTTAATGTACTAAATGCTAATAATAGTACTACGGTAGTTGTAGCTGGTATTCGTTTTAGTCAAGCTATATGGTGGCTAAAAACACATTTTCTTACAGTGAAAGAGGAGCTTTAGGATTTGATGTATGAAACAATCAGAAAGGGGAACATGACTATAGATGAATTGTATAGAAAATTATTACGAATAAGAAGATGAGCCAACTATAAACCTGAAGAAATTACGTAGAAAGTTCTTAGATGCTCTTCCACTTCCATGGCTTGAAAAAGCCGAAGATATTGGTGAACATTTGCCATTAGATGAATTAGCTAAAAAGCTTTATAAGATAGAGTTACGTCAAATAGTAAGACATAAAGAGATAGAATACCTGACCCCCTAGTATCTAATTGAGCATCTCAAGAAATATATGAACCTTTACCTATTTCAGCTTCTCAATAGCAAGGAATTTCTTTAGAAGATATACAAAAAGCAATTCAAAATGCATTAGCTCAACAAAAAACTGAATATCAAACTTTATTAGAAAACCAGAAAGCTGAATTCTAAGCACAGATGGCTCTAAAAGTACAGGCATTGGCTTCACAAACTGTTGAATCTGTTAGACAGCTGAGAGGTCCACCATCTACATTAAAGACAGAGGAAAGTATAAAAAATTATTACGTAGCAGAATTCTTAAAAGACTTGGGTATAGTTAACAAGAAAGATTTAGACTCTGATTATCCTGTAAAGCCTTTTTAAAGACCTCGTTCACAATGAAGCAATGTCTTTGCTAGAATTAATAGAGTAGAGAAGGGAATAGATAAAACTCGTGATGCTGTAAATCAACTAACAAATCAATTCAAGAAACTAAATATACATAAATATGATATTTGTGAAGAAACTGGTTATAGTAAAGGCAGTTGTCCCAATAGATAGATAGCACAATCTAATTTTAATCAGTCTTATTTTAAGCCTCTCACACCTATAAATTTCAAAATACGCCTCCAGATTTTGATAATAATGGAGATAATAGTGGTGGTTATGATAAAATAGACAATACATGGTATTATGCACTGGAAAAAAAACAGTCGCTAGTAAATAAAACTTACATGGTAACTCTACTATCCTTTCTTCTGATCTAGTAACTAGCCAACCTGAAATATATGATCAGCTATTGTCTAAGCTCTCACCACCGATATGAAAAATGTGCTTGTCTCAAAAGGCTCAGGAGGAGGAATCGAAAGAATCAAACTAGTGGTTATCATCTTTACAATATCTGAATGCTAATATAAATGACTTAACTATTTCCAAATCTTTTTTAGATACTGGCAGTGAATTAGGTAGTTTAAATGACCTAGCAATCAAGGCGCTTAGATGGAAAGCTGATAAACCATTTAATTTTACCATAAGGCAATTCCAAGTATATCACTGATTCATTAGGATGGTTTACAGATGTGTCAGTTACCTTAAAGGATAAAGAAGGTAAGACAGTCACAGTTATTGGAAATTTTGTTCATATTGATAATGGTGAAACAGAACCAATGCTATTTTTTGGTATGTCAAACATTCGAAAGGTTTAAGGCGTCCCTGAGCTAAATAAAAACCAGTTTCACATAAAGTTACATAGAAAGGCATACACTATCTTCCAAAAAGTATCTGGTCAAGCTTTTTTTAAATTTCTCAAGATCGGATATATTAATTAAATAAAATTTTTTTTTAAATAAATCTCCTGATTTTGACGATTAAGTACATATGTTTATATCTGTATAATAATGTATAGATCAGTTTTAATAAACAAAATCGTAAATATTTCTCTTTTTTTAAAACTACGCCATTTGATATAGGAAAAAGTTGCGAATTAAATGAGTTTGAATGTAGAAAAATAATCAGTTTACGGATAGCTAGAAGAACCCATGAAGCTATTGCTCATCTTTTAAAGATTTCACAAAGCATTATTACAGATATAATTACTCGACATGCTAATTCTAGTAATGCCAAAAAATCTTCGTGAACTTGAGGAAATATTGCAAGAAGAATGGAGAAAAATTCCATCTGAAACCTATATTAAACTTATAGAAAGCATGCCACATAGAATCGAAGCATGCATTAGAAGCCAAAAATGGCCTACTGAATATTAAATTTATTAAATGTTTTATTTATATCAAAAATCTCAAATAAAATATTATTTTAGTTGATCAGATACTTTTCTGAGGATAGTATATGTGAGAAAGGGCTGACTGGCTAAGTAAAAAAATAAAACTAATAAAAGATATTAGAGTAGATCACGTTTAAAGAAAGGAATCACACTGACCCCTGAACTATAATATGGTAGTTCTTTCTTACTACTCCGCATTATTATTTGCACTACCACTAAATTCTATACTATCTACCTATCTCATAATTGACATTACTATTCTAAACTTTGGATCCTCTCCGCTATAATAAAATTTTTTACAGTTTCTTTTCCAATCTTTTTCTCAGTAAGTTGACAAATTTTACGTCTAACTGTTTCAAACGCATAATCTAAAGTTTCCCCTTCTTTCTTATTTGAATTAAAAAACTCGCTTAAAATGGTTCTTATTTTCTTCAAAAGATGAATCAGATAATCAACTAGAAGAACTTTCACTACTAGAGAAATGGTTGACCACACTCAGTTGATCAAAATCAACCTGAAGCCTTTGGGTAATTGCATAACGTTAGATCATTTCATTTCAGAGAGCTTCAATAAAGGTCTTGATCAAAGTGAATTTAGATGAAATATTGTCAAAATTATTACGACAAGCTTCTTTGATATTTTCGAGTCTTGTGGTCACATTATTGACCATTAATAAAATTTTTTGTGCCTCAGAGACATAGCCAGCATCACGTGAATTGATTTTAGCGATTTCTCTGATAAGTTTCTTATTAAGTTCATTATTGTTTCTAACAAGCTCTGTAATAAAAGTAGAATTAACTTTAAAAAGATGTGCAAAAAATTCATTGGCGATTTTAGTACTAACTTCTGTGCTAAACTTTTTGTTTATTTCAATAAAGGTCTTTTTAATTTCTATAGTAATACTTCCACTATGTGCCTTATTTTTTTTGATTTCTGCAGTAAGATTAACATTAATTTCAGATATACATGCAGAAAGCTTATTAGTGATTTTATTATTACGTGAAGGAGGTCATTGGAAAATTTGTTTCTGATGACATAAATCAAGAAAAATACGTTAAGAAGAATAGAAGATGTAAAGTCTTTAAAGATATGCCATAAGGCATTGTTTTGCAAGACGAGTGCAGACATATTTTTAGAGTAAAGTAGAAAAAAATATGTTTAGGTATGTTAGATCACAGGTAGTTTTGTGTAATTTTTTATGATTTATTAGTATGATTTATCATTAGTAAAGTTAAAGATAAATTTATACCCCTTTATATATTTTATAATCAGTTTCATAGCAAGGTTCTCAAAAGAATCATCCATTAATGCTAGTATAATTAGAAGAGAGAACCTGCATTAAAATAATACAGGCTTGGAATAATTGTGAAAATGATATCATGTATATATCCCTTATTTCTGAAAAAAGAAAATTATCAAGATCCTGTTTGGCATCTATACTTAAAGATAAAAAAAGTTAGTGCATTCCACATCTCTATATCCTTACAACATATTTCAAACAATGAATAATAATATTTTTTTTCATAAATGCTTGGCCGTGAGGTTTTACGTAAGAGAAAATTTTTATTAATAAAAATTTATTGAAATATTTGTTGAATCCTTCTGGGATTACGTATGTACAGTAATGTGAATAAACTATATTATAAAGTACTATTCTCTTATTCCTATTTACTTATTTTATTTGTGTCTAAAGAATGATATCCGTAAGCTAATGGAAGAACTATAATATATACTCAGCGAGACATTGTTTACTTCAGTAAACTATCTATAGTATATAGACTAATAGTGAAAATTCTATTCATTTGTAATGCAGTTTTATTCGAAGTCCTTCACTATTTACTTCTATAATGTAGATCAAAATAAAAGGAAAATAGGTAGGGTATTTATAAAAAATATTAGCTATTCTAGAAATAAAATTATCAGGAGTATTAGCATAAGTTTTACATCCCTTGTATCCCACAATTTGTAAATATGCACAGCTTATCTAATAAAATATACAGCTTATTCAATATGACCCTTTTTTTCAGAAGAAAAAAATACGCTAAAAGGAATATCTGATGAACAATATGTTATAAATTTATACAATAAAGTAATTATATATTTACCGTTTATTATCTAGATTGGCTGATATGCAAAAAAAATCAGAATAAAGAATTTATCATTTATTCATCATAGATCGAGATCTGTAAAAATAGTAGTTGACAAATTACTCATGCTGGATTATGTACTACCAATTTCTATAACTTTATCTCAAAAATGGATTAATGTGTGATTAACCTATACAGATAATTTGAATGCGCTAGTAAGATAATAAAAATTTACTGTTTATCTGAGGATCTGCAAATTATAGATTCTAATTGCTCTATTTTCATTTTTTGAATTTCTTTTTAATGATGTTCTATCTTACGATTCACATGTAAATTAGGATGTATTTTTTTATTAGTAATTCAAAACTGCATAATAAGTGAGATAGAACATACCAGAACTTTTTTCAGCTTAACGCTAGGGAAAGTTTATCAATATAGCAACACAAAAATAATTCTCTTGGCTAAGTTTATTAATAAATCCTTTGCCTTAGTACCTTCAGCAAAATGATGATTGTGGATACCAGTGATGTTTACTGCACATTTATCATGATACTTGGCCAGATGCGCTTACGCATGAGTTTTTTATTATTATGTTCTCCAACTGCTTATCTTTCAGTTTTGCGATTCTTTCTATAAGTTTAGCATTCCTTGCCTCAAGCTCAGCTTTTTCAAACAAGCTAGCTTGTCTAATTATCTTGGTTATAAGTCTGGCATTTTCTTCTCTGATTCCAATTTTCAATAACACTAATGCAAATATATATGGCAATCTTATATTACACAACTTATTCTTTGGTAAGAATTTTTCTGATAATGCACTACACATTTCAAGTAATCAGTTCACATGATGAAGTTTTTGTCTATGCTTTTACAGATACTATTGGGATTCCACAATAAACATTCCTGCATTTGAGACGATAAGTTCATTCATTGCAATATTCACCAATATCTCATTCACCTTTTATATTATTTCATATACTTTTTTCTTTATAATCTCTATTACATAATAGGTAGAGTATTGAACTATCAAGATTAAATCTGTTAGCATGTTTATCACTAAAGATGGTTCTCATAATTATTTTCAAATTTCAATTGAGTTGCAACTTAATTGCGTTATAAGGAAATTTAATTGCGTCACAAGTTGCAACTCAATTGCACCATTTTTTAATTGCGGTGACCATCTTTATTCATTACTATCACTTAAAGATAGATAAGGAAACTGCTCTAACATCAATCCAATGATATATTTTCACTTCTCTTCGAGATCATCAGGTAAAATAGAAATTGAAAGTTTGGATTTGTTAGATTTATTTATCTGACTAGAAGAAGTTGCAGATGATATACTCACCTCAGTTTTAGGTGAATTAACTAGATTGATTTTAGAGGAATCATCTGAAGAATTAGAGACGTGTGTTAAAGGAATAGGTGTAATTGAGACACTTATCTCAGCTGGTATGGGTGTAGTTAGTGATGTACATGGGACAAAGTCCGTCATATAGATTTGGACATGGAACATTTTGGGACATGTCCTAATGTTCGTATTCCATAATGTCCTAGCTTATTGATTGTCATAAGGACATGTCCCACTAAAATTTTAATTTCGAACATGTTCCAGCTATATCCTAACCAATCAATTCTTATTTTTTTATAGATTAGATAAATTTATAGATTAGATTTTATAAAAATTTATTCTCACATTTTCTTTTATTTTTTATCTTTTAAAATTACAATTATTTAAATTTTAAAATACCTATCTTACTGACAGTTTTAGATAAATATATTATTAAAACAAAAGAAAAAATTAATTCAAGTAATTTTAAAATTTATTGTAAATGTTGTATTGAAGTATTAGGTGAAGAAGAAGGAAAAAAAAAAATTTTTTCTAATAAAACAGATAAAATATTATTACATTTAAAAAAATGTACAAATTTTATTGCGAAAACAATACCTGAAATAAGAAATGAAATTTTTTTATTATCAAAATACAATAATAATTTACAGTCTGAAAATAAATTATCATATAAAAATTTTTATTGATTTCTTTTTTTAATTTTTATTATATAAAACTATTATTTAATATTATTTTTTTATAGATTCACAATCCGATTCTTCTTGAGATACTTTATCTACATCTTCAAAATCATCATTTCCTAATTCATCACAAAAACTTATTAACGATTATCATCATACAGTCCACTTGATAATTATATTGTTAGACCATTATCAAAACAAGATACACAAAAATTTAATATATTATTAATTTAATTAACAGTTTCTTGTAGATGGTCTTTAAACTGGGTTAACAAATCTAAAACAAAAGAACTATTTAAGTTTCTTAATTCTTCACTCAATCTTCCTGATTATTAGATTCTTGATGAACGAATTTTGCTATTTTTGAAAGTAATAAAATAATGAAAGAAGCACTTTCTGAAGATCCAGTAGGAGTAACTCTTACATTTGATGGTTGGACTAATGTAAAAAATGAACAGTTA